TACCGTTGACCAAGCGGCCAACTTAACTGCATTTATAACAGCAATTTTAAAAAAATCAAATCAAATCAACACTGTTCATTAAAGAATTAAATTATAAATAACTTAACTAAATTTTAAAGAGAAAATTTAACTTCGTTGATACATACAATTTACTTAGTAACTATAAGATTCAAGTTTAGCTATATATCTTAAGAGTTGCCCATTAACTTTTTTTATTTGAGTTGGTCAGATATGACATATGAATAACCTAACCTGATTTACCTTATTGTGATTCTTTGCTGGTTTCACTTAAAAGTGCACATTCGCATAGCGATTGTGAGATTTTTCATAAATCAAGTTGAGACCACAACCAATACGACACTACCAAATACCGAGGGTACTGCCTATGGGCTATGGAGTGAAACCTGTCTATGAGCTCCTAGTGGGCAAATAACTCCAATTAAGAAGGTAAATCAGCCTTAACAAGTTTTGGCAATCGCCTCAACTGGGAGGGTAATTGGCAACGAACCACTAACTGAGAGTTAAACATGTGATCTCAAAGTCATAAGTTTATTGTCTGATCAATTTAAATTAAGATAAAATAGATAGATAAAGTGATACCATCATGCCATAGCCATGATTTTCAAGAGTAGCAACATCTCTCATGTAGTAATTCTGAATCGGACCCAAGTTGGAATACACAACCGGCTTGCTCTCCAGATCGATCGGAGTCTGCATCTTTCCGGCACTGCACTGCCACCACTCCGGCCGCAGCTCTCCCCAGTGAGACGGCCCTCTGTCGCTGTTTTCGTCGTAACTAAATCCCCACTCATCATCTGCATGCATGCACATATAATAATAATCCCCAAAAAACAAAGAAATAATTGAAACCATATTCCAAATATTAAAAAAATAATGCATGCATTATATTATATCATATCATATCATGAAGATATTTAATAAGAATGTCCGTATTGACGTACCAACTTCCTGAGACTTGATGACATGTGTAACTGAAAGGAGAAGAAAGGCAATGGAGAACAGTTTAAGCATGTCCATGTCTTCGATCTACAGTTTTGCAATGAATTGAAATTGGTAAGGCCTTGGAGCGTATTATATAGAAGAGGAAAGAAAGAGTTTCGCTATGTTAGGTTTTTTTTTTTTTTTTAATAAATGAAATTTAACTCATAATTTTGGTCAAGTGAATCATTATTCAAATAAAATAGGGATATTTTTTCCATCGTTTTTAAAATGTTGACAGGTACAATTTTGCCTTCTTTCATATCCGACCACAAATCATTCCCTGATTGGTATCCACTTTGAATTACTTTCTCCTACGGGTTTATGATTCACGGTTAAATGCATTCACCCGCGGCCAATTTGCAGACGGAAACTCACGTAGTTAACACGATTATATTATATATTCATGCAATCGTATCAACAACGTATAAGTACGTCCTTTGTTGTTTCCCTAAAAAAGAAAAAGGTAGATAAAATCAAATTCATGATGCACATGCTCTAAGAAATGTTTGTTGATAACATTTAGGTTGGTGGGGAGGGTGACGACATGACAAGACGATGTCTTGAATGAAGTGGAATATAATATTGGATGGTTTCAAATTTTGTCCTCATTTCTTCATGTCTTTGGGACATTTTAATTAATTCTTAATCATCTTGATCTCTTCAATATAGTTAGTTAATTAAACTTTATCCAAATTATTTGTAATTAATAAGAATTTCAGTTCTATAAAGGAATACCAATCATAAGAGGAATAGCTAACGCAGAATACTAGTTCTAAAGGGAATTGTTATTGAAGTTTTTCTAGTTCTAGTTTGATTAGGAATAGCTTTGTTATTCACGAATCTGTTAGGAGTAGCTACTATAAATAGTGATTGTCCTTTATTGTAGAACTCAAGCATTCAACATTAATCTTGTGAGGTATGAGAGTCTTTGAGAATAGGATACTAAATTCCCCTAGAAAGTAGTACATGTGTTTAGGTTTCAATAGTTTGGTAGGAAAGATCATTCTATTGTGTAATCTCAGGTTCCAAACAGTGTACTCACTACAAGAAAAATGCACATAGACAACACTAGAAAGACAACAGTTTTTAAGAAAAGTGTTGTCTTTTGTATAAAAGACAACAGTTTGGTCTAAAACCGTTGTCTTTGATGCAACATTTTTGTCAAAGACAACGGTTTTTACTTAACCGTTGTTGTAAGTGTGTTGTCTTTGTGCATTTTGTGAAAAGACAACACCACAACGACAACGGTTTTTTAAAACCGTTGTCTATGTGCGTTTTTTTTTTTTAAAAGACAACGGTTTTTTTAACCGTTGTCGTTGGTGTGTTGTCTTTAAGCGCACTGGAATACACAACACTAGAAAGACAACGATTGTTTAAAATCGTTGTCTTTGTGCGCTCTTTTTTTTCTAAAAGACAACGGTGTTATTTAACCGCTGTCGTTGGTGTGTTGTCTTTAAGCGCACTCGAATACACAACAATACAAAGATAACGGTTTTTAAAAATCATTGTCTTTGTGCGCTCTTTTTTTTCTAAAAGACAACGGTGTTATTTAACCGCTGTCGTTGGTGTGTTGTCTTTAAGCGCACTCGAATACACAACAATACAAAGATAACGGTTTTTAAAAATCATTGTCTTTGCACGCTCTTTTTTATTTAAAGGACAACGGTTTTTTTACCGTTGTCGTTGGTGTGTTGTCTTTAAGCGCACTAGAATACACAACACTACAAAGACAACGGTTTTTTAAAACCGTTGTCTTTGCGCATTATAATTTTTTAAAAGACAACGGTTTTATTTAACCGTTGTCATTTATGTATTGTCTTTAATAGCACTTGAATACACAACACTACAACGACAACGGTTTTATATAACTGTTGTTGTTGCGCGTTCTTTATTTGTTTAAGACAACGGTTTTAAGCGTATTTGAATACACAACACTACAAAGACAACGGTTATAAAAAACCGTTGTCTTTGCGCATCATTATTTTATAAAAGACAACAGTTGTATAAAATATAAACAAAGATGTTAACAACAAGAATTAAACCTATGACATCTAACATAACAAATTAAGCTAAACCAACCAAGCCACACAAACACTTATAACTCAAGCGCAACATCTAGAATATAACCAGTTTGCTTCTGTGTTGTCTCTGATTGTATGAAATAGGTTAAAGATACCACCAAGAAGGATAAAACCCAAGACCTCTAACATAACAAACAAAGCTAAACCCACCAAACCACACCAAGTCTTATTTACTAAAGTGTTACACCTTATCTTTTACCTATAATTTTGGGCTGGCAGCTTTGACCTCTGGACACTTCAACTGCACCCCTGGTCCTAAGGGGGTGTCAGGGCCGTTCCATTAAATATAAAGGCCATGTTTAATTTGGATCTTCATTGTTTTTGTTATGAGATGAAAATACATGTTTAGAAGATCTAGAACAAAAATAAAAATGTACATGTAATTAAATTTTTTGTCCAAATATAATGCATAAAAATTTAACAAAGAAAGAATACAATTCAAAAGTTTTTTGAACACAAAGAACCAATAACGCCTCCACTGAGGCTCAAACTCATAATCTTCAAAATGGAAGTCCAACCCGGGTACCATTAAACCACATAGTCCATACAATTCAAAAGTTAATTTAATAGTTCTACCTATATACTCGGTTTATGGTAGATCCGTTTCCCTATAAAATCATGAATATAGTTATTTAATTTAGAAAAAAATGAAAACTTATTATAAAATAAATATAAAACTTTCGTTATTTTGTTTATTATATTAGATATATACATTATTCTTTAAATGAAATAAAAGTCAAAATAATTCTGACTTTCGGTATATATTAGTTATGAGTTAATACCTCCAATGGTCCTCCATGTTTTAAAAATAACCATCTGTGGTCCTTTTAGGACATCTCGTGGTCATTTTAAAACATGAAGAACCATTGAAGGTCATTTAAATCTCGGATGACCACAGCTGGTAAATCACTAATACTCGGAGGACCATTGGAGGTATTAACTCTATATAAGTTATATATGTTATTTTTTAAATTTTGACTTTCAAGACTTGCACAATTTGTAAAAAATCTCCCTCCCTTTCAAATAAAATAATTCCCTCTTTGTAAATTTTGACATTATTTTGTTATTGACACTTAAGTGCAAAAGAAGAAATTTTAAAACACAAAACAAAGCACAAAATCAATTAAACATAAGACTAAAAATAGAAATTATTAAAATCTAAAGGAATTTATCTCAGAAAATTCACAGGGATTACTAGAGGTTTAGAGCCAATAGTCAGTCCAGAAGCAGCTTTTAAGGTAACTTCTTCTCTCATTTTGCTTTCTTTAGATGGGGTGATATGTCATTTGAGAATTTACAATTTACGGGAGAGCATAATCACTCTATATTATTTGCTCAAAGTCATCTATCTTTAATGATCTTAAGTAAAATTAAAGATATTTATTATGTTTTCCTTCTTTTAAACTGGTGTCTAGTAGGAATGTTATCTTTGGTTATTTTTCTTTCATCCTTATGTCTAGTGGTTATTCATTTTCCAAACTTGCCTCACCATTTGTTTAATTCTCGTATGTTGTTTAGTTATCTAGGTAAACCAGTGTCCGAAAAGATTAAAACACTAGTGATGAAATCATCTCAAAAGTGGGGCTTGTTGCAGTGCGAGAAAAAGTGTGTAAGAAATGCGAATTAAAGGTGAAAATGTGAGAAGGAAAATAGAAATAGCATATCACAAATTGGAATGACTGAGAAGAGGATCTCCATCCTATGTGGTGAATAGTTTTAGGCATAAAAAGTATCTACAGAGGTGAGGCTAACTGCTTCTGTGTAGGGTACACAAATTCATTAGCTTTAGTATAGTGAATGTGTGAATAGAGCTGAGGTTTGGATGCCATATTATCTTGATTGTAGTCCTTGTTTCTTAGTGCTAGCTGATGATTTATTATATCTATACTAATTTATTTACTCACTTTTTACATGTAGTTCCAACAAGTTGATTATGACAATAAGCGGTTATTGATATGGTGCGTTCAGAATGGGCTGATATTCTATCAAGTTATATAGAGTAGGTATGATTTGACGTTGTAATCATTTAGACTTGGTTCGTAGAATTATTTTTTGTAGTACTATGACTTGGATGATGATTCGATTACAATTGGTAATGAAAGTGTTTTGACTTGTCATTTTGAACCTTGCTTAGCTTCTGCAAAATTATGTAACTACACTTGGCCATGGTGAATGGATAAATTGATTTTTTTTATATGATTAAAATTTAAGCAGGTTAAAAATGGGTTGAGACAACGGTTAAAAACCGTTGTCTATTTTACAATAGACAACAGTTTGAAATTGTTGTCTTTTCTACAAAAGGCAACAGTTTATGGGCGTGACTTTTAACAACAGCGATTTCAACAACACACAATAGACAACAGTTTATAACTGTTGTCTTTTAAAGAAAAGACAACAGTTAAAAACCGTTGTCTATGTGCATCACTTTTAACAACACCGATTTCAACAACATTGAATAGACAACGGGTCAAAAACTGTTGTCTTTGAAAGAAACGACAACGGTTTGAAACCGTTGTCTGTGTACGTGACTTTTAACAACACCGGTTTCAACAACACTCAATAGACAACAGTTCTTAAACCGTTGTCTTTTCTAGAAAAGACAACGGTTAAAAACCGTTGTCTATGTTCGTGACTTTTAACAACACCGGTTTCAACAACACTTAATAGACAACAGTTAAAAAACCGTTGTCGTTTCTAGAAAAGACAACGATTATTAACCGTTGTCTATCTGCGTGACTTTTAACAACACCAGTTTCAACAACACTTAATAGACAACAGTTAAAAAACCGTTGTCGTTTCTAGAAAAGACAACGGTTATTAACTGTTGTCTATGTGCGTGACTTACAACAACACCAGCTTCAACAACACTTAATAGACAACGGTTAAAAAACCGTTGTTGTTTCTAGAAAAGACAACGGTTAAAAAACCGTTGTCTATGCGCGGGACTTACAACAACACCGGCTTCAACAACAGAAATTATACCCCTACGACAACGGTTATTAACCGTTGTCTATGTGCATTTTTCTTGTAGTGACTTTAAATATTGAGCTTTTAGTGGATTTAGGTAAATTCTCAAATTGAGAAGTGCCTCGCAGATTAGGGTTGTTTGCCCGAACTGCATTACAGATCGTTTGTGCTACAACGTCAGTTTCAACATCACTGTGTGCTACGCTTATATATATTTCAATTGGTATCAGAGCCAAATTGCTTAAGTTACTAGCAGGACCCTAATGGAGTTTCCAAGAGAAGGACTGTCAAACATAGAAGGGATACAGTGCTATGAGTGCAAAGGGTTTGGACACATCCAGTCAGAATGTGCAACATACTTTAAAAGGAAGAACAAAACATATGTGACAACACTAAGCGATGACTCAGACAGTGAAGAAGACACCAACACTAATTTCGTAGCATTCACCACAAATCATGAGAATGACAACGGAAACGAAAATGATATACAAGAACTGCTAGAGTCATATACACAGTTGCATGCTAAATGGGAACAAATCATCAAAGTAAATCTTGAACTCATACATGAAAATCAGTTTCTAAAAGATGAAAAAGACAGTAATGAAAAACGCCTTAAAGATACTCAGAATGAATTAATGGAGTCGAAAGGCAGAGATGTCAAACTGTTACAAGAGATCAAGGAACTAACTGAGAGGCCTAGATCTCCAAATCCAGCATCCAATGAAAGTCATTCTTCTGAAATTCCTAAAGTGTCGCAACATCACTTCCAACACCGAAGGAGGATCAGATGCTATTATTGTCACATACTGGGGCACATAAAAGTATACTGCTTCAAAAGACAAAATGATCTGTATTACAGACAAATCAACAGAGATTGGTCAGTACAAAGCAAGAAAATCTGGTAAGAAAAGATCAGAATGTTGCCTACACCTCAAAAACTAGCAAAGAACAAAACGTATGGTATTTTGACAGCGGGTGTTCAAGGCATATGACTAGAAATCCAGAAAATCTGGAAAACATTCAGTATAAGAATGAAGGACATATTACCTTTGGAGATGGAGGAAAAGGCCAGATCATTGCAAGCGGCATCTTGAATGTCCATGGGCTGCCTAGGTTGCCAAAAGTCCTCCTAGTACAAAGTCTAAAAACAAATCTAATCAGCATAAGTCAGCTTTGTGAAGATGAACTCAAAGTAGAATTCTCTAAAGACAATTGCACTGTGTTTAATCAGAATCACAAGTGTATCATGATGGGAAAAAGGTCCGCAAACAAATGTTATACATTTGATGGTGACCTATCTGGTTTACAGATAACCAACAAGCAAAAACAATCACGGCACCAACATATGGGACACATAAATTCTCATGACATCAAAGGGGACCAAGAAATATTCCTAGACTATTCAGGTTATTCATCAAATAGTAAGACTTTCAGTGTAGACATTACAACGGAATCCATGAATGTGGTTATTAATGACACAATTTCAAGAATAACCACTAATGATGACGAAAGTCCCAGAGTTGTTGAAACAACTGTTCCAACACCTCTGACTACTGTTATGCAGAATCACAAAACAGAAACAGAACTAGATGAAGAAAAGGATGATGGCTCTGCAACGATCATTATGAGCCCTATTCTGATTTCACAGGAACCCTACCAAAATATTCAAGACGAACGCGAACCACCTCCATCCTGTTTGTGCAAGACAGCCCTGGAGGGTGAGGGTGGTCTAGCGGTGGCAACGGAGCGTTTTCCGGCGATGATTATGTCACCGGAAATTGGAGAAATTCCAGTTTCGTCTAGGTTATCCCATGAAGATCATATCGGATAATTTAGAGATCATTTGAAAGAGCTTTCACCGGATTTTGTGTTATTTCCATAAATTAATGATGGCGCAAAGTTAGTACGTTCGAAATTCCGGTCAGGAAATCTAGATGCGATCGTAAGGCAGAAGAGACCGATTGATGGAATCTCAGTGGATTCATGTTTGCATGGCCAGAATACATCTCCGATTAAAAGAATTCTCGATAGATTGTCTCAGCTTTGGCGTCGCGCTCCTCCGATGTGCAATTTCCCTTCGGGATGTCGCGATTGAGGAGAAGTGATGAAATCAAAGGCGTTGGCGGTAATAACAGAGGAAGAATAAATCAGAGGAGAAATTAGCTGTGATAGGCTGATTTAATTGGGAATTTTTATTTTTTTAAAACAAATCATACTCAACGATAGCACTCACCAATAACAGAGATACATGGAATCAATTAAGGGGGGGATGAGTCAGAAGTCAAAGTTTTTTTTTTCATGGAATCAATTAAGGAGGAGATGAGTCAAAAGGCAAAGCTTTTTATGGAATCAAGGTTTTTGCCAAAAATTTGACAAAGGGGGAGAATGTTGACTCAAAGTGTTTTTTCAAAGTTATGTGCAAAAAGAATTCCAGTTTTATAAAGGAATATCAATCATAAGAGGAATAGCTAATGAAGAATACTAGTTCTAAAGGGAATTGTTATTGAAGTTTTTCTAGTTCTAGTTTGATTAGGAATAGCTTTGTTATTCACGAATCTGTTAGGAGTAGCTACTATAAATAGGGATTGTCCTTTATTGTAGAACTCAAGCATTCAACATTAATCTTGTGAGGTATGAGAGTCTTTGAGAATAGGATACTAAATTCCCCTAGAAAGTAGTACATGTGTTCAAGTTTCAATAGTTTGGTAGGAAAGATCATTCTATTGTGTAATCTCAAGTTCCAAACAGTGTACTTTAAATATTGAGCTTTTTGTGAATTTAGGTAAATTCTCAAATTGAGAAGTGCCCCGCAGATTAGCGTAGTTTGCCCGACCTGCGTTACAAATCGTTTGTGTTACAACGTCAGTTTCAACATCACTGTGTGATGCGCTTATACATATTTCATAAATGTTGAGAGATATATTAATGAATAAAATCTAAAATACTGGGAGGAGGTACAGAACATTACGTCCCAAGACTAGCATGAGAATCAATGATCCGAGCTAACTTATGAGCCAAAAGATTCGCAGGTCTACCAACAAAGACAACACTAACATTATTATTATTTTTTTTGGTAGAGTCAACATTTGCAACATGATTATGAGCCAAAAGATTCGCAGGTCTACCAACAAAGACAACACTAACATTATTAAATGAAGATAAAAAAAATATTTGCAACATGAAATCACATGATCGGTATAGGAAAAGTTAGTAGCTACACTATTGATAGCATTAAGACATTCAGTTTCCATAATCACATTATCATCACCTCACTCTTTTAACCATGACAGAGCCTCCTTGCAAGCTAATGATTCAGTCATGTTAGGATTCAAATCACAACTAATCGACCAGCTACAAATGCTCCGAAGGAGTTTCTCAATACAGCACCAAACCCCACTAATCTAGATCCAGGTTTTGGGAAAATAGCAACATCTACGTTGTACTTGAGAGCATGGGGGGTGGGGGGAGGGTGTGTGTGTGTGGACCAAGTTGCGTTGGCGTTATATATAAATACTATGACACAATAACTCTAGAAATATATTATAATCAAAATTAATAAAAGAATCGCTTTACTCTTGAGGACATAAACACACCGTCAAACCTTGTAAAATCTTGTGTTTTAATTTTACTTTATATATGTTTTGATCGTTAGTTCGTCATTATTTCTCAAAATGTGTAGACTTGAAGGATTATCATATTATCAAAATATGACGTTGACTGCTACATATATATATATATATATATATATATATATATATATATATATATATATATATATATATATATATATATATAAACATTTATTGCAAGCTATAAGTCTATAACTTAGAAAATAATATAAAATTTTATTTACTAGCTATAACTTTTAAACAATACCCTTGATGGGGTGAGAACCCCGGCCCAAGAAGGATTGAGGATTGGCCCAAGAAGGGAATCCAAGATAAGGAACGTGGGCTAGCAGTGAAGAAGCCCAGTGGGAACTTGGGCCGAGTCCAGGAGTCGGCCCAGGCCCAAGTCCACGAAGGGACGGCTCAGAGCCGTTAGGCGAGCGTCGAGAAGCCTCATTTAAGAAGACCCGGCCCCGGAGCCGTTGGAGGCATTCAAGGCAGGACTCGGTCAGACCGTTACGGATCCAAGGAGCCGTTGATCAATCCGGTAAAGGCGCCCAACGGCTCGACGATTGTAATTAGCCTTGAAGTCAGTCATTAATGGCCTTCGAGTCGGTAGGAGGGGAGCCTGCTATATAAAGGCTCCTCCACCCTTGTCATCCAGACAAGTTCATCCGGAGAGAAGAGAGAGACACACTGAAAGCTATTACGAGTACTGCCATTTCTCTGCAATTTTGTGTGAAAGGTGAATCCACCAACTAAGGTTGTGTTGGACTTCCCTGGGCCTGAAAACCCAAAAACCAACACTGGCGCCGTCTGTGGGGATCGAAACAAAAAGCTGCGCGACTCTTTGAGCAGGACGAGTCTCTCTAAGCAAGGCGAGTCCCAAAGTCGACTGAAGAAGCATCACGAACATGTCGGAAGGACGAGATCAAGCGAACAACCGAGACGGCGGAGTAGAGGCAGACCTGAAAGAGCAGTTGAACCAACGGAATGCCCAAAGTCAAGGAAACGAAACGGCGCCGGTGAACCGGCAGCCGCCTATGATACCCCTCACCCCGGAACAACTCCACGCGCTCGGGCGAGCCTTCGCCGATGCAAGTCGGGGGGCAAGGGAGCAGTCGGTTTCTCGACCGATGCCCCGCCGTCAACAATTGTCCCAGAGACCAGAAGACGGACAGGAAAATCGACGGGCGGAGAGCCAACCAGTGCGATCAGTCCATTCAAGGCTGGGTCCGAATGCTGGGCGGTAACCTGCACGAGAACGATTAGGAGAAAGTGAACCCCGCCGCGTACCGGCAGGGCCTCGAGACCGGTCGAGAAAAAGCTCGCACCCGGAGAACCAAAACTCGAACGCGACGAACCGAGCGCATAACGCGCCGTGATGATCAACCGGCCGAATCAGAAGCCGGCGAAAGCACAGAGTCCACCGGAAACCACACTCACAATGAAGGCGACGTGGCTCAGTTGGCCTGAGAGGTACGAGACCTGAGAGAGCAGATGAGGGGTAAATCCAAATCTCCCGGGCAGACGCTGCTCACCGCTTTACCATTTTCTTCCGAGATCATGTCCTACAAAGTGCCCGGCGACTTCAAATTCCCGGAGCAAGCTACATTCGACGGATCTGGGGACCCGCGCGAGCATCTGCTCGGTTATCAGGCCAAAATGCAGGTCTTGGGAGTACAAGACCCGGTGATGTGCCGCGCCTTTTTACCCACACTGAAAGGCTCCGCGCAAAGGTGGCTAGTGGCGCTGCCTCCCGAGTCGATTCACAGTTTCGAGGAGTTGGCCGACCGTTTAATGAGCCATTATGCGGCCAACATCAAGCCACAGAAAGATCTGACTCACCTGGGTGATGTCCACCAAGAAGAAGGCGAACCCCTGAAAACCTACCTGGTTCGCTGGCAGAAGGAAATCCAGTCTATAGAGGAGGTCGAAGATCAGACCGCGCTCACCTTTTTCATCGAATCTCTACGATCCGGGCAGTTGTACCGAGATCTGCGGGACAACCGCCTGGCCACCTACGCGGAAGCCATACATATGGCCAACAAGAGGGCCAACACGGAGCAGGCTATGAAGCACAAACGACAGCGCGAAGTCGGAGGATCCGCCAGTGGAAAGAGGACGCGAGCTGAAACCAAGGAAAGGCGCCCGGATGCAACCCGGCGACCCGAGATCAGACGGCCATACGACAGGCCCGTCGTGCACCCCTATCGGCCAGCTCCCGAACGGCCAGTGCATGAGATACAAGCAGTCGCTCCGCCTCCGCCTCCGCCGATCGATGACTGCGCAGTAAACGATGAGGCAGGTAAGACCCTTAAGTACTGTCGTTACGACAAATCCTATACTCACATTACGGAAGAGTGCTTCTACTTGAAGAAGATCATGGAAGGTATCATCCAACAAGGGACCCCGCCCCCTAACCAGTGGAGACGTAGATCGGCGAACCGGGAGGATCGGGACCCGGTCGCCGCCGCGGAGAACGGTCGGGGTAAGCAGACGACTTCTGAAGAGGACGAGGCCCAGTGGCGTCAAAAGCCAGTTATTAACATGATAGTCGGCGGGCCCGAGGGCGGTGACTCGGCGAATACCAGAAAGGCCTGGGCTCGACAGCTATACGTCGGGACGGTATACGAGCGTGAAGAAAGCTCGAAGAAAGCGTGCCGAGAACCGATCACGTTCACTGACAAAGATCTACCCGCGGGAGAGACACCACACCGGGACGCATTGGTTATAGCGATGGATGTGAACGGAGTGGTCGTTCAGCGAATCCTGGTCGATACCAGGAGCAGCGTCAACGTGCTATACCTTGAGACTTTCACGAAAATGGAATTGACTCGGGAACAGCTGAATCCGGTCAAGACACCGCTTGCCGGTTTCACGGGAGACTCGGTGGAAGCAGAAGGATCCATTACCCTGCCGGTGGAAGTCGGCAGCTACCCCGACGTACAGAAGCTCAGCATGAAATTCATCATGGTGAACTTAGCCTGCTCATACAATGCTATACTTGGCCGACCGGGCCTGGAGGATTTGGGAGCGCTAATTTCCATCGAGCACCTTTGCTTGAAGTTTCGCACGCCCAATGGGATAGGGACGGTGCGTTGCGACAGGAGAGTCGCTCGCGACTGTTACCTGCAAGCCTGTAGAGGAATGGGCAAGCGTGAAATGTAGGTCCATGAGATCACGGAAAGACCCCCAAAGAAGACGATGATACCTCGCCCTGAGCCGGCGGTGGAATTGGAAGAAGTCGAGATCGATCCCGATCAGCCGGATAGGCGGGTCCGAATTGGAGTCAGCTTCCCTGAGGAAATACGAGAAGAAATCATTAGAGTGCTCCGGGAGCACCGGCTGGTATTTGCCTGGGGTCCGGAGGACATGCCTGGTGTCGACCGATCCATCATTGCTAACCGACTCGCCGTAGATCCCGGCCATCGGCCGGTTGTGCAGAAAAAGCGATATCTCGCCAATGATCGGAGGGAATTTGAGAAGAAGGAGGTGAGCATGTTGTTGGCTGCGGGCCACATTCGAGAGGTTAAATACCCAGAATGGTTGGCAAATGTAGTTCTCGTACCCAAGCCCCCGGCTTGGCGGATGTGCGTTGATTACACCGACCTCAACAAGGCCTGCCCGAAGGATCCGTTTCCCTTGCCTCGGATTGATCAGCTAGTCGACGAAACCGCCGGGTCGGCCCTGTCAAGCTTCATGGACGCCTTCAGAGGGTACCATCAAATTTTCATGCACCCGGCAGATGAGGAAAAGACCGCATTTCTGACACCGGACGGAGTGTATTTTTATCGAGTCATGCCCTTTGGACTTAAGAATGCCGGAGCTACTTATACCCAGATGGTGGCCCGGCTGTTCCAAGATCTGTTGGGAAAATCCATGGCCGCGTACGTGGACGACATGCTCGTCAAGAGCCAAGAAGAGGGCGAGCATGCGAGAGATCTGACCGACTGCTTCCAAGTAATGATACGGTATAATCTCCGACTGAATCCTAAGAAATGTGCCTTTGCAGTGCAAGGCGGAAAGTTCTTAGGATATATGGTTACTAAACGAGGCATTGAGCCTAACCCCGAGAAGGTTCAAGCTATCATCGACGTGCAGCCTCCCAGTACCGTCAAAGACCTGCAGCGGCTAACTGGCCGACTGGCTGCCCTTAGTCGCTTCCTGAGCAAGGCGGCGGATAAAACTACACCCTTCTTCGAAGCCATGAAGAAGAAGGAAGGCTTCGCTTGGACAGCCGAGTGGCAGCAGTCGTTCGAGGAATTGAAGCGGTACCTTTCTACGCCTCCCGTATTGTCCACCCCCCAGGTGGGTGAACCTCTGTATTTATACTTGGCCGCCTCCCAGAAGGCGGTGAGCTCTGTGCTGGTCCGAGAAGAGGAACGTGCACAGCACCCGGTGTATTATGTGAGCCGCTCCTTGAAAGCCGCCGAGACCCGGTACACGGACTTAGAAAAGATAGTTTATGCGCTGGTGATCACCGTGCGCAAGTTAGCGCCTTATTTCCAAGCCCACACTGTCCGAGTGCTGACTGATCAACCTTTGGGGAGCGTCTTGCGGAACCCCTCGTCGTCCGGTCGCCTGGTGAAGTGGGCCGTGGAATTAACCCAGTACGGGATCGAGTATCAGCCACGGCCTTCCATAAAAGGCCAAGCCTTGGCCGACTTCTTGGTCGAATGCACAGCAAGTGAAGAAGAAAAGGTACGCACTTCGGAAGATGACTTCGTCGAATGGTGGGAGATGCACGCGGAAGGAGCCGCCAGTCGACAACATTGCGGGGGTGGAGTCATGCTAATCACTCCAGAAGGATTCTGACTGTATTACGCCCTGAGCTATTTGTTCCCAACGTCCAACAACGAGGCCGAATATGAGGCAGTGCTGAATGGTCTTCGACTCGTCAAGGCACTGGGAGTCGAACGATTGCGGATCAAAACCGACTCTAGATTAGTAGTTGGGCAGATCTCCGGCACGTGTGAGGCTAGGAACGCCCGGATGACCCTTTACAAAGAAAAGGCGGTGGAGATGCTAAAAGAGTTCAGGGCCTACGAAATAGAATATATCTCTCGGGCAGACAACGTGGAAGCCGACATACTGTCCAAGATCGCACTGGAAGGAGTGTCGGACCACCTCGTTAAGATTTGCCAGAAGGAAGAGCTGAGTCGGCCGAGTATCAAGGAGACGCCGTTGGAAGTCCAGCAGGTGACCCGCGCAGAATGGGATCGGGAAAAGAACCCCGAGATGTTTTGGATCGAAGATATCCGACGGTTTAAAGAAACAGGCGAGTTGCCCAAAGACCCAGGAGTCGCCGCTAAGGTTCGACGGAAGGCCCCTTCTTTCCAAATCCTCGATGGACAGCTATACAAGCGGTCATTCGGAGGTCCTTTTTTGAAATGCCTGCTCAGACCCGAGGCCGAGAAGATAATGGACGAAGCCCATAGAGGCATCTGCGCCGCCCACCAGGGTGCCCACACACTCGCCCGAAAACTAGTCGTCCAAGGATACTACTGGCCGACCATGATGCGGGATTGCATCGAGTGGATAGCGAAGTGTGGCGTGTGCCAAGCCTTCGCCAGGAAGGACACGCGGCCAGCCACCTTTTACACCCCGGTCACCACGGCCATTCCTTTTGCTAAATGGGGAATCGACTTATTGGGACCGCTGCCAGTCGCCCCGGGAAGCTTGAAATTCTGCGTAGTGGCCATCGATTACTTCACCAAGTGGATCGAGGCCTAGCCTCTAGCCACCATCACCGAATATCAATGTCGACGCTTCCTATGGAAGAAGGTGATTTTCCGTTTTGGCCTGCCCGAACATATCGTTAGCGACAACGGTCGACAGTTCGACTGTCAGGCGTTCACTGACTTCTGTCGCCGACACGATATCCGTCACACCAAGGTATCCGTGGCATACCCCCAGGCCAACGGCCAAGTCGAGAACGCGAATCGGACCATAGTGGACGGGATCCGAAAGAAGTTAGAGGATATCGGAGGGAATTGGGCGGATGAGCTTAACCGAGTCCTATGGGCTTATCGCACTACGCAACGACGAGCGACCGGCGAGAGCCCGTTTTCCCTAGCATACGGCTTCAAGGCCAAAGTTCCAATAGAAGTTGTAGAGCCCACTCATCGAGTCCGTAACTACTCCGATGAAGAGAACGAAGTGAACCTTCGAATTGAGAAGAATTTCCTAGAAGAAAGAAGGGAAGCCACGGGTGCCCGGATGGTTGAATACCAACAATCCGTGAAAAGGTATCGAGATCGAAGGATCCGCCCACGAACCTTCCAAGTCGGAGATCTCGTGCTACGAGACCGACAGGCGAGTCAACCCACGGAGGGGGGCAAGTTCGCAGTCAAATGGGAAGGACCGTACCGTATTGCCGCGGTGGTCCAAGTCGGCACCTACAAGCTTGAAACCTTGGAGGGCAAGCCCATAGACCGGATCTGGAACATCATCTATTTGAAGAAACTCTACCAGTAGAAAGAGGTTAGCCATGTACACGCGCCTAAGTTTCGAAACTTGAATAAAAAGAGCATGAATTACGGCCAAATTCTGCTTGGGCTCGGCGAGTATATAAAGAAACAACGGGGCACTGACCCTCAACTGTTTCTAAGTGAAGAAAAAGCCTAAGGAGTCGCCTCGACTGAGGGACTCGGCAAGAGAGATAGGAAACAAGGGCCCAGACCCTTAGTCGTTTCCGTGAAAAAGCCAAAAGGAGTCGCCTCGACTGAGGGACTCGGCGAGTATATAAAGAAACAACGGGGCACTGACCCTGAACTGTTTCTAAGAAAAGAAAAAGCTTAAGGAGTCGCCTCGACTGAGGGACTCGGCAAGAGAGATAGGGAACAAGGGCCTAGACCCTTAGTCGTTTCCGTGAAAAAGCCAAAAGGAGTCGCCTCGACTGAGGGACTCGGCGAGTATATAAAGAAACAACGGGGCACTGACCCTAAACTGTTTCTAAGAGAAGAAAAAGCCTAAGGAGTCGCCTCGACTGAGGGACTCAGCGAGAGAGATAGGGAACAAGGGCCCAGACCCTTAGTCGTTTCCGTGAAAAAGCCAAAAGGAGTCGCCTCGACTGAGGGACTCGGCGAGTATATAAAGAAACAACGGGGCACTGACCCTGAACTGTTTCTAAGAGAAGAAAAAGCCTAATGAGTCGCCTCGACTGAGGGACTCGGCGAGAGAGAGATAGAGAACAAGGGCCCAGACCCTTAGTCGTTTCCGTGAAAAAGCCAAAAGGAGTCGCCTCGACTGAGGGACTCGGCGAGTATATAAAGAAACAACGGGGCACTGACCCTGAACTGTTTCTAAGAGAAGAAAAAGCCTAATGAGTCGCCTCGACTGAGGGACTCGGCGAGTATATAAAGAAACGACGGGGCGCTGACCCTTAACTGTTTCTAGAAGAAGAAGAAGACTGAGGAGTCGCCTCATGGGAAGGACTCGGCGAGACAAAATCATTGACTAAGACAGTCCAACAGAATGAAGAAGCCCGAGGCCTTAAATTATTTCAAGAAGGTTCAAAAGCGGAAAAAAGATGAAGGCAATCAAAGGGAACAAAAGAAAACTTCATTAATAATAAAGGCCCGAGAGGGAGGCCAGCCCATACAAAAGAAGGCTATCTAAAAAAGACTAGCCCTAAGCTACTGGGGGGGAGTGTCAACGTCGACCCTCTCCACTCGCTCTCCTGCCGTTGGTCCAGCTGGAAGGACGAGTGAGGAGTCTTCCGCCTGAGGAGGCAGCTCTGAAGGCTCCGCCACAGGGAGAGCTGCCGGATCTGCGGACTCCGCCACAGGGAGAGCGGTCGGATCTACAGTCGATACGGGCTGATCAGTCGCCGGAAGAAGGTCCAGCAGTGGCTTGAGGCTCCAGCTCTCGGGAGTGAAGGCGGAATCGCGGGCCAGCAAAGCAGCGTAAGTTTCCGACTAAGCTTCACAGAAACCAAGGCGATAGTCACGCTCGCCCAGATCCAGGAGGTAGTCATCCCCCTCCGGCGTCGCCAGCCACTCCTGGGCGATTTCCTTCTGCCGAGCTGCCACCGCCGCCTTCACGTCTGCCTCGAAGGCCGCCGACTTCTTGTAATCCTCCACCGAAGTCGCAGCAATAGTCGCGACCTTGTCCCGCTCCTCCTCCCACTGACGGGTGACCCTTAGCATCTCGGAGGTGTGCACCTC